AGCATTCAAGGGTTTGAAGAAGAGGAAAGCAGGTCTGTTTACCAGGAATCAGGAAAAGCTATTTGAAAGAATGAGGCAAAGGATACCTCAAAGGATAATATATCAACAACAACAACAAAATATCATTCTGATAATAATGTCACTGCTATCATTATTATTATAGCAGCTAATATCTACTGAGTGTTTACTATGTGCTAGGCACCACACAAAGCTCTTTACAGAGCTTACCCTGCTCAATCTTCATGCTCATTTGACATAAAAAAACCGAGGCTTAGAAAAGTGAAGAATATGGCAAGCATCAGAACCCAGATTAGAGCCCAAGTGTGTGTATCTCCACAGGCCACCAGCCCCTAGTCAGCAGGATGGAGTGAGAGAGCTCATTCCGGAGAGGGCCCGAGTATCGGCAGAGGGAAGGAACGAGAGGCTTCGGATGACCATCCAGAGGAGCTTGGGAAATTGCTGCAGCCAGGTTACAGGGAGCCTTGAGTGCCAGTGCCAGGCACCTGTCCCTATTAATAGGCAATGGAGAGCCACAGGAGGTCTGACATAACTGGACCTAACCCACGGGACCAGTGGAGAAATGGATCAAGGTGGAGAGAATGGAAATGAAGAGGCCATCACAATGGTCTGGGTGAGAGACTGCTGCCGGGCAAGGTGAGAGAATGTGTGGGAACCTGTGAGCACGTGCCTCTGTGTTAGGTCTGCAAGATTATGTGAGAAAGGGAAAGTGTGTGCAAGGGTGAGTGTGCATGTCAGTGAGTGGGGGGGGGGCGGCTTCCTGTTGAAGAGCCTTCCTGGTAGGAGGTAGGGTGAGGTAAGCAGGGGAAGAGAAGGGGCAGGACAAATCAATTGGTCTATCTGAGCAGGAGGCTCTGGTGAATGAGAAACCATCATTTCACAGCTCTGTGGGCTCTGAGAAGCCCAGAGCCTGGCATATCAGATGGACACAATTAACATTTGTTAAAATCATGCATGAATGAATTTAAGATCTTGGCCTCGGGTCTCTTCAGAGGCCTGGTTTTGCCCTCCATCTGTGTGGGGGTCACCCTCATTCCTAGCCCCCTCCATCCAAGATCAGACATGCTTAGCTAGAGTAGCCACACTCCCAGGGCCCCAGCCCCCTTCCCGGGCCTTGTGCTCCCCGCACTTCTTTCTAACAAACACATTCCCGCGTGGACTCCAAGAGGACTTCATACTTTCCCAGATAAGGGTCTCCCCTCCTCCCTCCTATTCCAGAGCAGAGAAGATGCTGCCCAGTTGGTTCCAAGCATTTATCTGAGCGTTTATGCTTCTCATCAGAGGCAGAGAGAACTGACCAGAACCTCCTGTCGCACTCTCCAGCTGGCCAAAGGCTTTCCCTCCCGAGGATTTCATAGGCCCACCAAAGGATGGCCCTGAATCTCGTCCTCGCCAGAAGACATCTCTTTCAAGACTCCTCCCAGCTCCAGCTTTCATCCTGACAGAACAGACCAGGTAGATAGACCACAGTGACCAGGATGGGGCAGCTCCCACAGCACGAGATGAAAACTTGGTCTCAGTTTCTTGGGCACCTCCTGTCCCACTGGGTGAAAGGGGAAGTTTTCTCTGGAGTAACAAAACAAAAAAAACTAGCTCCTTTCCTGCTCAGCTCAGCTGCAACCCTGTTTTATGGCATAATGAGTACGATTTGGCACCTAGAGAAAAAGAGGGGTCTCTTTCAGATTGAAGAAGCTACAAAAATTTAGAGGAAGAAATGGGGGCCGGCCGAGTGGCTCAGTTGGTTAAGAGCTCGCTCCGGAGTGCGAGCTCTAAGCAACAGTGTCTCTGGTTCGATTCCCAGCCCGAGCTGAGCTGCCGCTGAGCTGTCAACAGGTGGCAGGATGGCTCAGCTAAAAAAAAAATTTAAAAAAAAGAATAATCGAGGAAGAAATGCCTTAGAAATCATGAAATCTAAACCTCCCCAAAATAAGGCATTATTGACAGACATGGAAATAGACAGATGTGGAAATAGAGGTCTAAAATCTTGGAGGCTTTCAGTTGTTTAAGATCAGTCTAAGCCATTTCTGGCTTTCACCAGATCAGTTTGCATCCAAAAGGATATCTGTGGAATAAATACACTTGCCCTTGGGGCAGAACCTGGACTAGAACCTGGGTCTGTGCCTCCAGGCTTATAGCCTTTATGCTACAGGCTCTCTGCCTCCTGGGGATGTGCCTGTCATGACTGTTTTATTTCCTCCAGGCACTCGGGCAGAAGCTGGTGGGTGATTTGTTAGACAGTGAGTCCTGGGGGCTGCCTGGCACAGTCTGCCATCCAGATGGCAGCCACCTAAAGCCAACAGGGTTGGAGGGGCGGGGGAGTGTGTGCTCTGATTTATGGGGGATGTAGGTGGGCTGGCTGGCCTAAGGCTATGGGGAGTTTCCAGGATCTAGGGAGGCTCCTTCTCCCCAATCCCCCTCCTTGCCACACCCTCGGAGAAAACATAATGAAGCAGGCTCCCCACCCACACGGGGACCCACACTTTGGAAGGGCCATTGCAGTCCCCACAGGGTTGCTGTCAGTAAAAAAAAAAAGAAAGGCAAGAGATGTGGAACAGAGAGTGTAGGGTCACAAATCCTGGTTGAACAGTGAGAAGGCCCCAGCCACTACTGGGTGTGTGTGCTTCAGTTTCCCTAGCTACTTGATGTCCTGATTGGATGTTCCCTCAAGACCCCTTCTGGCTCTGAGAAATCTAGGATTCACAGGTCAGGGACTGTGTCTTCCTCCTCATCTTCAAGTGCCCAGCAACTAACACATAGTAGGTACTTAAACCAGTTCACTGAAGGATCAAATGAAATGGGTCCTCAATCAGTCCAAAGATCACATAGAGGCCAGGAAAGAGATTCTTGCCTCTAGCACCGACCACCTACCCACCACAGAATCCACCGGTCTTAGAAAAGCCTTGGCAATCCTGGAACCCTTCGTAAATCTGCTTCCTCTCCTAGGTGCACAGGTGTGGTTGGAGGAGCAAAGCGGGAAGCAGGAAAATGTGCCTGGAGGAGAGAGGGATGTCTGGACCCAAGAGGAGCAGGTCGCCCTACGGGCACTTTCTTAACTCATCTGGCCCCCCTCCTTCTGGGTCTGTCTGGCTTCCCTCTCCTTGGCCTTCTTTCCCCCTTTGTCTCCTCTCCCCGACCTCCTCTGACCTCCTCTGTTTTCCTTGCACAGTCACCTTTCCTGCCTGCTTTGTGGAGGCTCAGAGCCTTCTGCTGGTCCCAGAGTGCCTGGTCCTCCCTTAGGCAGGAAGAATCACACAGGCTGAGTGGAGACTCCTAGGAGCCTCAGGCTTTCTCAGGGGCAGGGCAGGGAGAAAACAGCAATGGCGAGATTTAAATTCTCCCTCTGAGCCTCCTGAGCCTTTACCTATCCTCCTTGGCATAGAGCCAGATGAGGCAGAAAATGTCCTCTCTTCTAACCTGAGATCTGTTGAGAAGTACATTGTGTATGTGTGTGTGTGTGTTGGGGAGGCGATGGTATGTGCTATTGTTGGTGTGTGTGAACATGCACAGTATGATGGCAGAGTGTATTGGTAGCATTGCAGGTGGCATTGTGGTGAGGTATATATGTGATGTATTTGGTGTGTATGGAATGTGATATATGGGTATGAGTGGCATGTTTATGGAGTGTGTATGCCGAGTAGGATGCATGTGTGGTATACGTATGTAGCGTGGTATGTATGTTGTATATGTTTGGGTGTTCGGGGTGTGTTTGTGATGTGCAGTGTGAAAGGTGAATGGAGTGGGTAAGGGGCCATGTCAGTTTGGGAGCTAGCTATCCAAGGTGCCCTACCCAGAGAAGCCAGGGCCAACCAGTATCTAGGCAACCATGTTGGGGGGAGGGGAGGAGATATGGAGGTGAAGAATGGGCAGGAAAAGGAGGGAGGCTGAGAACTGAAGAGGCGTTTCCATGGCAACTACCAGGCAGGTCACGTGCAAAAGGCTAAGTTGCGGAAGCAAATATACACATCCACACGTACACAATATGAGGGCACTTGGCCCCCAGAGTGGGGGTCCTTTCACAGCGGACATGGGCTGCCCACTGATCCATCGCCAAACCTGGAAACCTGGGCCCAGCCAGAACACCATGCCAAGGAAACAAAGGAAGTGGATACAGAGGCCACATTGGTGGGGCGAAGAAGCCTCAGCCCCCCACATCTGGAGGTTGGTAGCAGGGACCTGGGTAGGCCCATTTCTCCCGCACAGCTGCTCCCTGCTCCCACCCTTGGGTGCTTTCTCTACCAGCCACCACTTGTAAGAGCCAGAAGCAAGCGCCAGGAGCCGCGGGCTGCTCTTCCAACGCTCCGCGCGCGGAAGCCCAGAGAGACACAATGGGAGAGGCTCTGCCAGGGCCAGCCCTGCTGGGGAAAGAAGCTGGACGTGAGGAAAGGAGGGAAGGAGGGGGCGGGGTCAGGGCCCCCGAGAAGAAATCGGATAAACAAGGAGAAGAAGAAAAATAAATCGATGCTGACATTCTCATGAATCCCGTGCCCTGGAACCCCGGCCCTTCCTTTCCTTCCTTCCACCGCCCTGTCAAGCCCTCCAAACCCCAAACCAGCAAGTTCCATTTTGTATCGCTCATGTGTCCACATTCACATCCAGCCACCTCCCCATGCGCTACTCCGGTGTCCACAGCTTCCAAGTAACAAAGGGAAGACTCCCCCAGGATACAGAGTGGGTGCAGTCCTTTCCTCTTCTCCTAAAAACAAGAGCCCCAAACCGGGCAACAGCAAGCCGGTGCCCAGCTACCAGCTGCACCCCCACAGACATGGCCTGCCTTCCCTCAGAGGCCCCCTCTCCCTTTCGGAGGCCAACTTCCCCTTTTCCTATCCACCTTGGTTTTGGCTGCCAAAGGGCAAGCTCCCGGGAAGGCCGGTTCACACCCCTGAAACAAAACCAGCCGGTCCCCGGTCCCCCACAACCCTTCCCAACCCGAGCCTTTCCTTCTGGAAGAAGAACCCAACTTTGCCACCTCCGCAGCCGCTTACCTACACAGCGCGGCCCCTCCAAGACGATACCCAGAGAACGAGCCGAGTCTGCAAGAGCTGGGAGTGGTGGGGCTGGGGCAGGGCGGTTGGAGAGGCTTTCGCGGTTTTCCCGCCTCCCCTCCTGCGAAGGGCTGGGATGGGGGAGAGGCGCGCCCTGAGGGGGTGGGGAGCGGTGGGCGGGGCTCGGCTGCGCTGCTCCGGGGACCGCTGCCGCTGTGTCGCGGTCCGCTGGCTGCTGGGTAGCGTCCGCCCGCAGACCCCTCTCCCCTCGCCCTGCGCTGCCCTCCGGCTGCGAAGTCGCCGCCTCTCCCACCCGTAAGGGAGGGATTCGCTCAAAGGGCGGCCACCTCCGAGAAGCAACAGGAGCCTGCCGCCGAGGGGGCGGGCCAGCGCCAGCGCAGATTTGCCACCAGCTGCTCCCTTTTGATTTTCCTCTGGTGAGGGTGGGAAGGGAGCGAGACAAACACAATGACAGAGCTAGTGTCGTTCTCAAATAGTAAACTGAGGGGAACGGGAAAATCAGAGAAAATAACCCAGCACCAGACACAGCAACCCACGTTAATGGGAACCTTGGCAATTAAGGGAAATGTGCACCAAAAGCATGAATGGCTGTGTTGGAGGCACATGAGGTGGCTCTGCTCGTAGTTGTCATTTCAGCTAGAGCTAGGTGCGGTGCTGGGGGGGAGCCGCTTGCCCCAACCACAGATTTGCTGCTCAGAGCCCCCTTTTCAAGGCCTCCCACCCTGGCCCTGCCAGGCCACAGTACTGCCCCATGCGACAGCCCACTCCTCAGGGTCCAAATTCAAGATGGCAAACTGAATTTGAAGATTTAAACCTTACCTAGTTCTCCCACTCAACCTGTGACTTGATCTTGAACAAATCACTGAAGGAAACCTTGAGCCTGAGTTTCCTCCCATGTAAAAATTGCTCTGAGAACATTAACCTTCTAGGATGCTTAGCCTAGCACTCAGAGTGAGTGCTCAATAAACCACTGTCATCTTGAGGAGCAGGTTTGTACGAAGGGAAGAGGCCAGGCACTGACAGAAACCACAGAAACACAGCAAGGGCTGGCCACTCAGTTGGTAGCCAGGAAGCCATGCTGCCTGCCATGAGGCTGCGCAGCCTGAGCCAAGATGGGGCAGACAGGATAAGGGGTGATGCCTGAGAGAGACAGGCTGGGATGTCCAAGCCTGGGCAGGGCCCCAGGGACTTCCTTACAGACCCCAAATCCTGGGACGATGGGTACGGCTAGGAAGAGATCCAGCCTCACCTCTAACACCCCAACCCTGGGCCTCTATTTTCTCATTTGTGCAATGAAGGAGACAGACCAGATAATCCTGAGGCCCCTTCCAGTTCAAACCCTAGATTATTTAATTATCGTAAGAAATAGATAGAGTGGGGTAGCCCCACTCAGGGAGACCCTGGGGAGGACAGCTCTGATACCTATGACTACATAGACTGAGTAGCCCTTCTGTTCCTCTATAAGCTGAGAACTTGGTTACAATGTCCTTCTCCCGCTTCTTTTGCTCCAGGTGAGGGAGATCGAACAAACTATGCCACTTGCTAAGCCTGTGTCTGTGGGCAAGTAGATTAATCCCTCCCAGATGCCCTTGAATGCTGCCTGTTGGCCACCTCTCTGTGTTGCTTTCTGGAGTTCCAACTGGCATGTCAAACTCAAGCTTTGTAAGCCTGTTAGGTAAAGGAAAAGTCATCAGTCAGAATTCCAAAGCTGAGCCACTTGCTAGTACCAGCCCTTTTCCTGCCCAAGAATTCCAAAGTGTTTGGCCAAATTACTTCCCACGTGCCCCTGCCTGACACTTCTGACCAGCAAAAGGCAACAGAGGGATACCAGTAGCTACATTCACGTGAGGAAGGGCCATGGCTTGCCTCTTAAATGGTGTTTCTTCCCAGTCCATCCAGGGACACTGCTGAAGAAGTTTGGGGTGACACAGTTATGAAGTCACACACAAGCTTGTTCTAGAGGGAAAAAGAAACATCTAGTCCCCACCCTATGAAACGTGGGCATGGGGGGAAGAAAAAGGTCACTAGCTGCTTCATTCTTTTAAGACATATATTTATGTGAGGAGCTACTCTGCACTGAACCCTGGGCCAAGCTCAGGGGTTCAACACTGAAAGGAAAGACACGCTAATAGGCAAGATAGATATTTATCAAATAGTCTCATGAATAAATGTGCAATTAAAACATTGTTCAGAGCCCTGAGTGGGTAGCATTTGAGAAGTGAGCTAAAGGGTCAGGAGATGAAGGAGCCAAGAATTGGAGTGACAAGTAGGCTTGGAAAATGATTCTGACACAAAAACAGAAGCAACATGTGCAAAGACCCTGAGGCAGAAGGAGCATGCCATGAAAAGAGCCACTGTGGCTCCTGAGCAGAGGAGACAGGCTGGAAAAGGAAGCAAACACCAGACCAAGCAGGCCTGGTAGGCAGTCCCTGGGTGAATCCAACCTTTATTCAATCCGGACAGTGGGAAGCCACTCAAGGATATCAAGAAAACGGTTTCAAGCAAGAATTGGGGAGTAGCTGGCTGTTGCCAGGGGACTCTCCAGTCAGGATTCAGGGGCTGCAAGGAGAGCAGTGCTAATGTGAACTTAAGAAATGGGACTAAATCTCAACTGAAGAGAATCCTGCTTCTCTAGAAGCCCAAGGAGCAAAAAGAGAGAGAGCTAGGGCAGAAATGCACAGCCACGGTGGAAGTAGGGTAAGAAACCATTTCTGAAACACTCCCCCCTCCATCCCACCCCAGAATTGGAGCCATGGGAGACCTAGGGCTTGGGAAGACAGCATAACTGTTGGAAGCATAAAGGACTGCTACATACTTCAAAGTGTGTGCTCAGCTGACTAGGCAACTTACAACTGTGCAGCTAGAACCCCATCTGGGTAGCACTTGCCCTGGTTCCCTTATGCTATCGCAAAAATAGCTCTTTATCATGTCAGTGCCCAGGTCACACAGCCACAGATGGAAAACCGAGGGCCTGTAGGGAAAATGAAAGGGGTAAGACCAGGAGTCTTAGAAGGGAGATCCCTGGCCCTTCCTAGCAGGTAACCCTCCAAGGTGGACACAGGAAGCTTTGGGGGTGCCTTTTCATCCTGGGGTGCAGAGTGTAAAACCAGTGCAGATTCTGCCCACGCTTGTGGCCCAAGACAGGCCACCCCAAGATATCCCACAATGGCATATTATTTGGAATTCAAGTTACTCAAGAAACTGCCCATGTAAGAAGAAAACCCTGACCTCTCGGTCCCCATAAAAGCAGGAAATAAATCTCCCATGTGATAGGTACCCTCCTGCTCCTGAAGGCTAAGAGACAACCTTATCACAAGAGTTAGAAGAATCCAGAGTGGAAAGCGTGTATAAACAAGCCTAGAGACGTCTTTACTAATTTACTACACAAGCCCAAACTTTGTTCAAATTCCTTACTAACCAATACCCAAACCACGCTTAGATTCCTTTCCAACGAGCACTTTCTTGTCCTGTCAATTTCTCACAAATGTATTGCTTCTTTGTCTAAAAAATATGAAAAGGTGCCTGGTTCAGTCATTTCTTTGAGCCTCATTTTACGATCTGAATATCATATTGTGATTCTCCCGTGTGCACATGTTAAATTGGTTTTTCTGTGTTATTCTAGTCTTTTGTCAATTTTATTTTATTACTAGTCCAACCATAAGAACTAAAGAAAGGGGAGGGGATTCTCCCCACCCCACCCAGCAGCCAAATGCTAAGCCCGGAACCCCTAGGACAGAACTGTTTCCCACCTCCTTGGCTGAAGAGCTCAGCTCACGTCCAAACCACTCTGACCCTGATCCCTTCCTCCCTCCCTGACTGTTTTTTCTCACACTCCTCTGGCTTCTCTCTTAAGCAGCTGTGTCAGGCCCTTTGTTGAGCTGCTCTTCATGGTTCCACAGCAATCCAATCCACAACCGTGGTTTTACCACCTACGGAAGGCTGATGACCCCACAATCTCCACCCTGGTCCTCACCCCAGAGATCCAGCTAAATAATCAATCCCCAGGGACTCAGCGCTGCTCATGCTGAATTTGTCATCCGAACCCCCAAAGCTGACTCCCCTCTGTGTCTTCCTCAATTCCTGCATGGCACTGCCCCAACCCATTTATTCATTCTCACTCCTCTCCCCTCTGCTGCTTCTGTTCCAGGTCAGGCCTCTGTGGGCCCAGCCTCTGCTGGTAACTCTGACTTTGTCTCCCCACCCCCAGGCTATCAACTCTAGTTTGGTATTTTCCACAACACAGATATGGTTCAAACCTTCAGTGTGTCCGTAGTTTCTACTAGTTATAATCCAACTTTTTTTTTTAAGAAAAAATATTTTTACTAAATGATGAACACTTCTTCAACAAAGTAAAATACAAAATTGTTTACAGCATAAACTCTTCAGATATAAACTGTTCTCCCAAAATCATGGGTTACACTGAGTCATGCTTAGTAATTTTTGTTTGTATGAGGACTCTGAATTAGCCAGAGATGTAAAAGCTTAAGTTCTCTTTTTTTAAATTTAAAACATTTTTCAATTACTGTTGATATTCAATAATATATTAGTTTCAGGTGTGCAACATTTATATACCTTATGAAGTGATCCCCCCAATAAGTCTAGTACCCATCTGACACCATATGTATTATTACAGTATTATTGACTACATTCCTTATGCTATACTTTACATCCCCATTATTATTTTGTAACTACCAATTTGTACTTCTTAATCTCTTCCCTTTTTCACCCAGAGCCCCAAACCCCTCCCATCTGACAAATATCAAAATTTTCTCTGTTATCTATAAGTTTGTTTCTGTTTGGTTTGTTCATTTTTGGTTTTTAGATTCCACATATAAGTGAAATCGCGTGGTATTTGTCTTACTCTGTCTAACTTATTTCACTTAGCATAATACCCTCTAGAGCCATCCATGTTGTCACACATGGTAAGATTTCATTCTTTCTTATGGCCAAGTAGTATTCCACTGTATATATGTACCACCTCGTCTTTATCCACTCTTCTATCAATAAACACTTAGCGGGCCGGCTGAGTGGCGTGATGGTTAAGAACTGGCTTGGGATGCCAGAGGGCCCCAGTTCGGATCCCACATATGAGGGCCAGTGACACTGCCCTCCACAGCTAAGATGCTGAACAACAGCTCAATCTGGAGCTGGGCTGCCCTGAGTTGCCGGTGACGGCGTAGGCTGCAGCCCCTGTGGCAGTGGGTTGCCATGGGCTACCATGTGTAGCCAGCAGCCAGTGTGAGCGGACCGCAGCCGCAGTGAGCGACCATCCAGAAGCCGGCAACTAATCTGCCTTGCCCGGGAAGAGCGCAATGATGGTGCCAACTTGG